AACTTCGCAGTCCAAAATCCAAAGCCACGAACAAGAAAATAGAAATACAGAAAGAAGAAAGAAATATGGAAAGGAGAGCCCTTTATGTTAGAGAACACTATTGTTTTCAGAAGCAGAATCAGGGAGTTAAAATATGATCACACGGCTGAAAATAGAGAAGGGTCACACTAAATGGCTCTCTAGACCCCACTTGATGATTCTTTTTTATACCTGGTTTATCGAAAAAGTCACGAGTACAATAAAACGTTGACAGAATTCATACCAGCATTGACGGTGCATGATTGATCTATTTATTTTCCCTCTCTATTTATCAATGATTCTACACCAGAACACCCTCTGTAGCCGATCAAAATTCCCAATACTTATAATAACATGATTATTCTACTTTTGCCATAAGTATTCAATATAACAACAATTATGTTACAAATACAATGGAATTTTGATAGAAAATTTTGACAGACAACACGTGATTTGAAATCATTGGTAGATGGAGAGAGAGGGAAAAAAGGCTAATCATGTGCTTCCACATTAGCATTGGTATAAATTTTGTTAACAATTTTCTGTACTCATGACTTTTTCCAAAATCAATTATGTTATAAGTATAGAAAATTTTGACAGATTACACAGTATGAAATTATTGAAAGATGGAAAGAAAGCAAAAAAAAAAAAAAAAAGTGTCCGTTACATCATTATTGATATGAATTCTATCAACATTTTCACATACTCGTAACTTTTTCTAAAGCCAATGTTAAAGGGGTTGTTGATTAGAACGAAAGGATGAATCATAGTAGAATCAATAGGGTCCCAGATTAAGATATTCCATTACATTGGACATTGTGATGAAGGTGAGGAATTTAAGGTGCGCAGAATTATTTATTCATTTCTTTTTCAAATTCTTGAATTCTTTTTTCTTGGGGCTGAGATCCTATTCTCATATGGGCAGGGATTAAAGTGAACTGAATTTTGTCTACTTTGTTGTCTTTATTTGGGTTTTAGTTTTATTTCTGTGTTTATTTGGGCCATTTGCAGCTTAAGACAGGAGTCACAGGACGTACAAATGGGTGGCAATAATGTTTAAGAGACACTTCTAAGAAAGAGACGGTGAAAAGAAACTAAAAATCATATTATTTTTTTAATAAGTTCTTATGTCTTCCCGTGATTAAAAAGAATTAAGTACTTTCGTGTTTTTTATAAGTTCTATGTCTTCTCGTGATTAAAAAGAATTAAGGGTTCATTTGATTTCAAAGATGAAATTGAATTATCTAGAAAACGAATTTCAGATCATTGAATTGTCTAGAATTTTTTTTTGGGAATTGTAAATTATTGTGTTTGATTGGTGTAATTTTCCACATGAAAAATATTGAGATGAAAGTGCTTTTTGGTATTCGTTTGACTCTGTTTTATATGAAAATTGTCAATTAAAGGAATATAATTTATTGGTATTAGAGATAGAATTTTTGTCCATTGCCAAAAAAAAAAAAATCAAAAATCAAAAAGCCAAGAAAATCATCTATCTTCTGGTGTTCGTTTGGCTTTGTTTTACATGAAAATTGTCAATTAAAAGAAAATATTTTTTTACAATTATAGATAAAATTTATTTCCATTGACAAATAATAAAAAAAATATGAAAAAAAAAATATAAGCTACAGTATGTGGGAAAACCAAGAAAACTCCAAAGTTCAAGAAAACAAAAAATTTGAATGTTATGAAAAAAAATGTATCAAACACCTAAAGTTGGAAAACTCAATTCCAATTCCACTCTATCAAACACACCCTAAGTACTTTTGTGCGGTGAATATTAATCTCTATTTGGTATTGTTAAAATTTTTCAGTAAATTTTTGACAAAAATTGATAATATATGTTATTGAAAATTGTAAGTCTCATAAAATGTGTTGTTAAAATTATTATTTACTTTGACTTATATTTTTATTAATTTTTGAAGCTACACCAAACAGAGAGCTATTAAATAAGAGAACAACTTTAAGAATTTCATTCATTATACTAATCTCCAGTCCTTTCTTGTCTTTTATTTAGTAGTGACAATTGAGTCCTGCGACTCATCAACTCGACTCAAGAAGTGCTTGAGCTTGTTTCGAAAAAAATTTGGACGAACTGAGCTTAGACGAGCTCGTGGACTTGAAAATGTGACCAAACAATCACATTTTTGTTGGTCACATTTTTCGAGATCTTGAGCTCATGGGCTGAGTCGGCTCGACTCAACCCATTGACACCTTTATTTGGGTTGGATGACTTTTTTCAAAAAATAAAAGGAATTGTGAATTTATTTTATGTTATATACTGAAAGTGGCGTTATTGCTATCATTTGAGAAAAAAGAAATAAAACGAGATAAAAAGTAGATTAGATCGACATGATCCTACTTTCATTCGTACAAGCACAAAATGACGTAATGCATGCCTTTAGGCAAACCATGAGTAATAAGTGGCCCATATGGCCAAAAAGTTGACCTTGGGGAGGAATTTAAGAATTTCTTTCGAATTTCAATAAAATTTATTAGCTTTCCCAATCCGTAATGACAATTTGAGATAAGTTAGACTTGTGAGCCGTGTGAGGCCATGAATACAAAAGGAAAAAATTAATTCAATTTACGTCCTATCTTATGAGAATCTTGTTCATTCAGTCTCTCTTGAACTTTTCAAGAATGCATAAGTCACTTTAGAAATTAACGAGTCAAAAAACATATTAAGCTTCCGTTTATATTCCATTAAAATGAAATTTTATCAGAAAATGTGTTTTAGAATTGTGATTTTTTGACAAATATGTGGTTAAAAAATAAGAAATTTTTTGAATATATGTATAACATTATTTTATAGAATAACATGCAGTTTAAAATGAGTTTTGAAAAAATAAATGTATTTTTTGATAAATGGAGCCAAAGAAGAGCTAAATGCCATCCTTACCAGATTTGTAACTTTGGCCCTTAACTAGCAAGTCATGACTGGTTGCCTCGTTCAAATGAGAGTATAAATAAAATAGTTCAATTTCAGTTCGGGTTAAATGCGATGCATGGCATTGAACTTTTAACGAACTTGAATAAAGGTTTTTGGACTTCAATTGGCACGATCAAGTTATTGAACTTTAATTTAAGTGCAAATATAGTCACTCTTATAGCATCCGTAATCAATTTAACGTTTTTTCGTTAATGTGTAACTTCAAAAACCACACTCATGATTTGTCACTCTTTAAAATACAATTTTGTGGGATTGATCTTTTATGTTTTTCTTCTTATATTGATACTTTAAAAAGAAATACTTACATCTTATTAATATAAATATCTTGTGCCTCTTACAAGCTTCGTCCATATTTGACTAATGGTTAGCGTGTCATGACTGTTCTATTTGTCAAGTAGATCATTATAGTATATTTGAATCTCAAAATCAATTTTGAATGAATTAGAAATTGTGGTCCAAAGTTGGAAATAAAATAGAAAAAACTGGCTGGAAAATTTGCCTATCATTCCCCTAGTGTTCGAGCGAGCTCTAACAACGAGTGAACAATAAGTAGGCAAAAAGTTTCTTTTGAAAATGTGAAAATGGCGCTCGAGCGAGAGGTCAGGGACAAGCTATCAACAGTAAGGGATGCTTGCCTTCATAACGTTGCTGGGGGCATATCACTTCACTCACAATCTCTCCTCTTTTATAAATAGGACCCTTTAGAGGTCCATTATGCATCCCATATCATTTGCATGTATCAAAAACTCTCCAAAAATCATTTTCTTGTAGGGGGAAGAATTTCGTTCGAGTTCGCCGTTGCTTATGGCTTGAAGTGCCTTTACCACAATTTGTATTCATTGTATCTTGGGAGACAAGTGCCATAATTTTTTAGTACCACTGTGGGCAATTTTGTTTTAAGGAAAAAGTATCAATCACTTGCCTCAAATTAATTTTCATACTTTATTTTGTTCCTTTTCTTTCTTTTTGTTTCTATTTTTCATAGAGTTTAATTACGCTCTTGTGAATTAAGCCTAACCATTATTCTGAATATTGACAAGCAACCATTTTCCTTCAAATATCACCAATATGAATATGATTACTCTCAGCTCCCAGTTGTCTTCTTTCAAGATGTTGGGTTTGTGAATATCAAATCCTACAACATCAAGAAGAGCGTGTTGCTAGAGAGGTGGTGGTATCGGCAGACGATGAAAAGAGCATGTTCTCGGAGATAAAAGGATTCTTTTAGTCCATTTTCTAAAAGGTGGGGTGGACTATGCCTAATTTTTTATTAAAAATTATTGTTAATACCTTATTTTTGAAATTGAAATTGAAAATGTAATAGTGACAAATAAATAAAATGAAAATAAACTCAACATTTCAATCTCACTTAATATTTAATTAATGTGTCAAGTCATCTTCATTGAACTACTTGCTCAAGCTATTGTCCTCTCAGAGTAGACGTCATTGTAAGAAATTTCAATTTTTCACGATGAAAAATTTTATTTTCAAATATTTATCGATAATTATTATTGAACGAAACAACATAAAAATAATTTTCTTTTTACGGATATTGTCCTATTACAAAAATTTTCACCACACTTAGTTATTGTCGTTGCCATAGATATTATGTTCACGTATTTTTATACTCTAAACATGATCAAAGGAGAAAAAGAAGTTACTGTACAATACTATCTTCTAATGCACAGAAAACTTGGTTCGTGGCTGTTATTTGGCATCTTAGCAGTTTAAGAAGACTTGCCTGAAGATGCTTATTCTTTCGTGAAAACAACCAGACAAAATAAACATTATTTGACAATATATGTTGTCTTTTGCACCAAGTCCCCTGGCCGATTGACCTAACAAGAACCACACAATATAGCTCCAAATATCTTTGTGATTTCACAACTGTTCTTCTTCAATAACTAGAAATTCCATGTCGTCGATTGATGAATCCCAGGCTTCCTAGTCACATTTAAGACAAACTGCTGATGCATCTCCCACAATCAATCACACAATTTCGAGAGAAAATTTCAGAGAGCGGATTGAGCTGACATCCGTTACGATCGTAATTCAAGTAAAAGAATCTCCGTTCCAGAACCGTACGTGAGATTTTCATCTCATACGACTCCTCCCTTATGTGCGAACGATGGAGGGACGAAAGCCTCAGGTCGTGCTAGTACCATTTCCTCACCAGGGACACATATCACCGATGCTTCAGCTGGGGGATATTCTTGACTCACGGGGATTCTCCATCACCATCGCTCATACTGAATTCAATTCTCCAAACCCTTTAGACCACCCGGATTTCAACTTCTTACTGCTACCTGATAACTTATCTGGTCACGACACTTCTCACAAAATCTCGTTGAATGCAATATCTGCTATGAACAACAACTTCAAAGAGCGGTTTCATGAACACATGGTTGAGATGCTGGAAACACAGGAGCAGCACGGTCAGGTTGCTTGTATTGTGTATGATACTCTCATGCACTTTGTTGATGAAGTGGCTACTTGTCTAGAGCTGCCTACTGTCGCATTACGTCCTAATAGTGCTGCTTATCTGCGATCTGATCATGTCATCTTCCAGCTTCAAGCCGACAATCTAATTCCCTTGCCAGGTATTGCTAATGATTGCTTGCTGCGAAGAGTAACAAAAACCATTTAGCGAAGTTTAAAATAGACGGTGTTACAGAATATAAACAATCAGAAATTCTGAAACCAATAGTATAACTCATAGATGATATAACTGCTCTATTTATAGGGTGAAGGGCACTTCTGATTCATTTTAATCAATGCCATGTCACATCCAAAATTAACATAAATAGGTGGTAGTAAGATTTGAGTTTAGGATTGCCTGCTTTAATATCACGTTTAATCAACACATATCAAAAGCTCGAGCTGTTGGTAGGAGACATAACTTTTTATCAGGAGAATGTATTAGCATTTCTTGATCATGGAAAGATTCAATCAAGTAGGACCCAAAGGTAATAGTAGTTAAGGAACAGAGAATAAATGGTGAATGGGATGTTCCTCCACTGGTCATTCCCCTTTAGAACTTTGGCACGCATCATTGATTTGATTCACTATATGACAGTAATCACAGTATGAAATGTACAAGATTGTGCTTCCGGCTAAATCCAATATTCTAGCACTTGACAATACTAATGAAGATGAGTTAAAATCTTGTCCAATACTACATAACAAACATGCAAGTGGTTTGAATTTGAGCATTTCCTAATTACACTATTTCTAAAAATGAAATTACAGAGTCTCAACTGCAGGATGCAATTCCAACACATCCTCTTCTCAGGTTTAAAGACCTACCCTTTCCAATTACTGCCGAGATCCCAAAAATACTACTTGAGTTCTTTACTAGTTATGCCAATATAAGATCTTCTTCTGCAATCATTTGGAACACTGTAGACATGCTCGAGCATGAATCCTTAGTGGAGCTTCAGCAGCATTACAAGGTTCCAGTCTTCCCAATAGGCCCTTTTCACAAAATGGCTCCAAAATTCAATACTAGCTTGATAACAGAGGACACCAGTGTCATCGCATGGCTTGATAAACAAGCTCCTAACTCGGTCATTTATATAAGCATAGGCAGCTTAGCAAAGATGGAGAAGAAAGAGTTTATTGAAACGGCATGGGGACTTGCCAACAGTGACCAACCGTTCTTATGGGTGGTCCGACCCTCTTCAGTTAGTGGAACAGAATGGATCGAATGCTTACCAGAAGGGTATGAAGCATTAACTCGAGAACAAGGCTGCATAGTGAAGTGGGCACCCCAGAAGAAGGTTTTGGCACATCCAGCCGTGGGAGGGTTCTGGAGCCATTCTGGCTGGAATTCAACCTTGGAAAGTATGTGTGAAGGAGTGCCGATGATATGCAGACCATATTTTGCGGACCAAGTGGTGAATACAAGGTACCTGACTAATGTATGGAAAATAGCCCTTGAATTGGAGGACCTTGAAAGGAGGGGCATTGAGAAAGCCATTAGGACACTCATGGGGGATAAAGAAGGCAAGGAAATGAGAAAGAGAGCACTCAAAATGAAACAAGAACTTGAGCTTTCTGTACAGAGAGGAGGTTCTTCATGGAAATCATTAGAAAATCTAGTAGAGTTTATCATGTCATTCGCACAACAAAAATGACTAGGCCATTACGATTCCTGAGCTGAGGGATTGAAGTCAAATTACGTTATAGTTCTATGATTTTATGTAGTATGTTGCAAGAGATCTGTTTGCAGTAAAAAAGCGTAGGCTTGAATCATGAGTTCATTTAGGTAACAACTCAAGATTCATCATTACTGTTACTTGCAAAAGTAATTCAATCGAAGCAGCATGATTTAAGACAAAATTAGCAAGGTCTTGGAATTTCATTATAAGGTTCAACATGTACTCTTACCAGCAATCTATATGTAAACACTTTTCGAGGACTTCTTTCTTCTTAATATACACATTTTAAACTATAAGTTAATTTGGAGTTTAGATGTTAATCCTCATCCTGGAAACATAAGATGAGGATTAAAACTCTAGAAGGAGATCAATGGATGTATGCTGATTTCAGATACAATACTCTAACAAGTTCTTTGCAGTTTTTCAGACTACTGTATGTTTGGGTATATTCACTTCTAAATTACATTTTTCAGATAGGAAATTCTAAATCAATTTTGGTAATACGTAGATAAACGGAAAATTAATTTGGCACAGCGATACTAAAGGATGAAAATCAACAAGCAGCACAGTTATTTACACATTTCTCATTCAAAAAAGTTGCAAACTTGGACAAAACTCTACTAAAGCTCTTTTCTGAACCTTAGTCCTACTTACTCTTATTTGCATAATGGAAGAGAAGAGAGAACAGGTTATGTTCTTTCCCTCACTCATTCTCTTGTCAAATAAATCACATATTATTATCATGAAAAAATGAAGGGGAAATCAAGTCTACAAAAATTCACGTTTTAACTGTGCTTGCATAGTCATTTCCGAAAAACTATTTTCAAAGCAGAACACCCACAAGCAAAGACGTGCTGTCAGTAAGAGAGTTTTCCCCATTTATTTCTTCTGTTCCATATCTTAATACACTCTAGAAAATCAATCCATAGTTTTGACTGTGTGGAAGTGAGATATTTATTTACTGTCTCTTCTTACAAAAACTTTAAGAAAGAAAATGAAGATCGTCCCAAGGATCTATTTGTGAAGAAATCATTACTAAATATCAAAATTTCAACCGTCATCACATTTGAAATGGTTGGGTGGTATCATGATTGAGGCTGATGGTGAAAACATTGGCAAATAAAAACATAATCAAAATTCCAAGAGGTAAAGGACGCACAGTGACCACAAAATTTACTTTAACTGAATATCATAATCCAGATCAAGACTAAACAGGCATTATATCAAACATGCTAACTACATAGAACAAGAAAAACTGAAAATATAGCGTACTGCTTCAACTATTTTGTACAATTTTACAATTCATACACAAGGGAGATTTCGCCTAACCCGGGATTTCAACCAGCCTTCTTCCACCATCTCTTTTGGAATTACAATCCATTCCGTCCAAGCCTTTATCTGATCCATCAATAAATTAAGCATGATTATCTAATAAACCAAGGTTTTAGATTAATATAAAAATATTTCAACTTCATTACACAATTTCATCCAACCATCATGCTAAGCACCACTTCATCCAACCATCATGCTAAGCACCACTTGCTAAATTGCATTGCCAGTCAAACTCACTTCATTTCAAGTATTAAGGTCAATAATTTATTAAAAATTATACACGTGCATAGACAATTTAAAGAAAGTAATTATGAGAATTGAATTTTTAATAGTTAAAAAGAGAAAAGTGAACTCTGTTGACTTTATTTGCATTTCCTCTCAGACAGGATGATCAATCATTTAAAGAGCTTTCAGCAATTTGGGACCATAGATTTTAAAAGTAGCTACTTATTCTCTCAAATTGCTGTTTCTCAAAAATGAGTCAATCTATAAATTCATTTTTTCCCCTTTGGTTTGGGGCTAGGAGAATTGCCAAGTTGTTAAAAGGGAAAATTCCATATCTAGTAGATTAAGAGCTTGTTTGGTAGGACTAAAAAATCAATTAAAATTAATTTTTTGACTGTTATTTCACTATTTCAGTCGTCATTTTTGAATTTTTCTCTTACAGGTAGGACCCACTTTCTCTCTAACGATCAAAAAATCAATTATCAACATCCCTACCAAACAAGCACTAAGTATTGTCAATTTCAAGACTAAGAAATAAGGTTTAAAATTTTAAAAATAAGATATTAATTAATTTTTATTTATGAAATAAATAATTAAATATATATTTCATTAATTAAATATATATTTAATTAAATAAATAAAGGTTAAAATTTTAAATTATCTGATCACTAATTATCGAATTAGTTGATCACAAATTATTCCCCAGTCATGAATCAAAAATTTTATAGTTACAAATTATTTCACGATTACAAATAAAAAATTTTATAAATCATAATTTATTGATCGATCATAAATCAAAAAAATTTATAGGTTACAATATATTTATCAATCACAAATTACAAATTTTATAAGTTACGACTCAAATGTTTAGGTCACATATTATTTTATTAGTCACAAGTTATCAATCACATACTATTTATTCGTCACAAAATATCTTATTTATTGATCACAATCTCAAATAATTGGTTACAAACACTCATAATCCCTCAAATAATTGGTTACAAACACTCATAATCCCGCCACGTATCCCACCCAACCTCAATTCACCATGGCACCAACCGAAAGTCAGGATTACAAATTTAATCGTAACCTTATATTTTTCTAGGTCACAAATTAACAATTTTATTTCGCAGTCATAAATAATTGATCACACACTACTCACCACATGCCACCCATCCTCGCTCAGTCACAGGGCACCAATCGAAAGCGTTGCGCTCTCACTACCATTGTCGCTACCAATACGTCCCCACAATCGCACTTCACCATCAATAGTACCACATCACCATCACCGCCCGCACCACCATCGCTTCACAAAGATCATCTCTTCCAACACTACAACACTATAGCCACCACCCCACCAACAAAATCAGCAAACTCCCCACCGCCATCTGCACTTTCAATACATCATAAATCAACCCTCAAATCCGGCACCACAAAATCAAAAAGAGAGAGAGACGAGAAAACCTTATTTTTGCAAAACTAAATTTCTATGATTATTGTATTGAATTTAAATTCCCAAAAATGTAGTAGATCTCATAGGTGGTATCCTAGAGAAGGTGATTGGCGCAGCTTTGTTGCGTAATGAAGATCCTATTGTCACGTGGAGCTCTAGAGAATGTTATCAGCAATGATGTGGTCGCATGGCAAGATTGTACGTGGATTGTTGGGGCACCACACGCAGCAATCGACTTGTCGGATTGTGCTCCCAATCTGACCGCATTGTGCATGTGTGAGAGAGTGAATGGGAGGTAGCGTTGAGGGGTATGGGTGAGATTTTAGGGTTGTTAAGTTGGGGGATTATAATACATATTTTTAATCCGAAAATAATAATTATAACTTAAAAAAAAATATTTCTAACTTGATTTTTGATATTGAGAATTTAAATGTAGGGGTGAGTAGAATTTCCACTTGTCAAAATATGAGCTACTCATTAAGAAAAATAGACACATATAACACTAGTTAGGGATGAAAAATGATTGTGTACTCTTCTCTAAAATTCTCTCTCATACAATTTTATTTGTAGCATCAATATTAGAAAATGGATTTTCCAAAGAATTAAGGGTCGTAACATGCTTGGAAAAGTTTTTTTAAATGGGTATAAATTATAAATAAATACAATTAAACGGTGAATAAACATGTAATACTCGTGAGTCGCACAAAATTTTAGGATAAAAAATAATTTAATGGATTATAAATAATTCATAAACATTAGTCAAATATGGACGAAGTTTGTAAGAGGCAAAAGAGATTCATATTAATAAGATGTAAGTAATTCTTTTTAAAGTATCAATATAAGGAGAAAAAACATAAAAGATCAATCCCACAAAATTGCATTTTAAAGAGTGACATATCATGAGTGTGGTTTTTGAAGTTACACGTTAACGAAAAAACGTTAAATTGATTACGGATGCTAAAAGAGTGACTATATTTGCACTTAAATTAAAGTTCAATAACTTGATCGCACCAATTAAAGTCCAAGGACCTTGATTCAAGTTCGTTAAAAGTTCAATGCCGTGCATCACATTTACCCCAACTAACAATGCATTTAACGCGAACTGAAATTGAGTTATTTTATTTAGTACTTGAATCATGGTTACACATAAATTCATGTTAAACCACACGTTCTTCTATAAAATAAAGTTACACATAAATTTAAATATATATTTTTTTATTTTTTAACCACATATTTTACAAAAAATCACAATTCTAAAACACATTTTCCCACAAAATTTCATTTTAATGGGAAACTTTAATGGAGTATAAACATAAGCTTAATGTGTTTTCACTAGTTAATTTCTAAAGTGACCTATGCATTCTTGAAAAGTTTAAGAGAGACTGAATGAACAAGATTCTCATAAGATAGGACGTAAATTGAATTATTTTTTCCTTTTGTATTCATGGCCTCACACGGCTCATAAGTCTTAACTAATGATTTTTATTGAAATTCGAAAGAAATTCTTAAATTCCTCCCCAAAGTAAACTTTTTGGCCATATGGGCCACTTGTTACTCATGGTTAGCCTAATGGCATGCATTACGTCATTTTGTGCTTGTACAAATGAAAGTAGGATCACGGCAATTTGATCTACTTTTATCTCGTTTTATATCTTTTCCTCGAATGATAGCAATAACGTCACTTTCAATATATAACATAAAATAATTTCACAATAGCTTTTATTTTTTTGAAAAAAGTCATCCAACCCAAATAAGGGTGTCAATGGGTTAAGTCGAGTTGACTCAACCCATGAGCTCAAGATCTTGAAAAATGTGACCAACAAAAATGTTACCGTGACACGCTGATAGTCAAATTATAAATAAAAATAAACTAACTTATTCTATTTGTCAAGTAGATCATTATAGTATATTTGAAACGACGAAAAAGAACTGAGTAGCGAACAATAATAGGATCAAGGCCAGATCTTAATCATATTTTACATCCAACGTCTCCAAATCTGCAACAATCTCCTTGAACACAGCAAGATGGTTTTGCAGTGACCCTCCTTCTGCCATACGATGGAAATTCAACTTCTACTTTAGAGTCAGTTTGCTCGTCAAACTCTTTGTCATGCACAACTACTCCAACTTGAGCCACAAAGCAGTGGCCATCTTCTCCTTTAAGACATCCTGCAGAATATTGTTAGATCAATGAAGATGAATCTGCGCTAAAGCCTTTCGATCCCTTCGTTGTTTCTCCTCTGTATACAAATTTGCTGGCATCCTCTCAAAATCCAGCAAAGCATTGTCAAGATCTATCTGCGTCAACACAGCCTTCACCTTTACTTGCTACAGGGAAAATCTTGTATTACAATCCAATAGCAGAATTTCATACTTCAACGAATTCATCCTTGAAAATTCTCAACCAAATCATGAAGAACCTGCAACTTGTGCTCTGATACCACTTGTTGAGTTCAAAGGCGACACAAGATTGAGATTTAATGACAATAATGAAATATTCAAGATCGCACAACGAAAACAAGATTAAAGTAAAGTACAAAAAAGAAACTAAGCAAATGAACGATGAATTTTATTAAACCCGACAATAGGAAGAGAATAATACAGAAAGCAATAATGCTTCTCAAAAAACTAACAGAAAAGCAAGCCATTAATTTATAGTGCATGAGCCAAACTCTAGAAATTAGGTTAAAGTTGGAAACTAGGCAAAATCACGTGAAAAAGAAAAAATTAAAAATCCAGCGCCCAGATTTTATTTCCATAATATTGGATGCTATTGATTCCTTTCCAAATTCAAAACACTCACACCATCTCGAAGATTTCAACCGGATTTTGAGGTACCCAATTAACATATACTACATAAAATTATAGAAATATAACTTAATTTGACTTCAATCCCTCAGCTCAGGAATCGTAGTGGCCTAGTCATTTTTGTTGTGTGAATGACATGATAAACACTACTAGATTTTCTAACGATTTCTATGAAGAACCTCCTCTCTGTACAGAAAACTCAAGTTCTTGTTTCATTTTGAGTGCTCTCTGTCTCATTTTCTTGCCTTCTTTATCCCCCATGAGCGTCCTAATGGTTTTCTCAATGCCCCTCCTCTCTATAGGTCCTCCAATTCGAGGGCTATTTTCCATACATTAGTCAGGTACCTTGTATTCACCATTTGGTCCGCGAAATACGGTCTGCGCATCATCGACACTCCTTCACACATACTTGTTACTTCTTTGAGCAGTGATCTTTGAGCTCTTAGTTGTTACTTCTCAGCAGCAAAATAGCTTCAAAAGAGGGAAAATAAAAAGCCTACCAAATGGAATTCAACAACCAAAAGGATACCATACAAACAACATGCTCAAAGTCAAAGTCAACACAATTATTTAATTAAATTTAGATTTCAACAAACCTGTAAAATGCTGGTTGGGTTTACCTGTTACTTTTCATCCAAGACACTCTATGTACATAATTTTCATAAAAGGGCTGCACAATGACAAACCATGTTTCTGAACAATTGCATTCACCCTAATTGAATACGAGAAAATCACAAACCCCACTATACCAACAGAATACATTCTTGAAATTCAATCACTTGAGCCAAAAATAAAGAGGGAAAAAGTAGAATCAAGACATACCTCACCTTGCTCTAGGTGAGCAATGAAGATGCAGAACAATAAAGACCTTGAAAACAAGAGAAAATCAAGTCGGTGGCGAAACCAAGAACAGTAACTCCGAGATAAAAAAGCTGAAAGAATAATTATTTTCTACAGAATCACTTACTAAAACCATCATGAGTTATTTTACCCTACAGACATTTAAGTGTATTTACAGAATACTCACATCAGATTTTTTGGCAATAAAATATTCATGAGGGGCCATTCATTTTGTGAGATCTATACACATTCTGTACACTTAAAATTCTGTACACTCGAAATTTTTGAACCATCATTTTGTAACATCCCAAAGGGCCCTTTTTCTCACTTCTTCAACTTCGCAGTCCAAAATCCAAACCCACGAACAAGAAAATAGAAATACAGAAAGAAGAAAGAAATATGGAAAGGAGTGCCCTTTATGTTAGAGAACACTATTGTTTTCGGAAGCATAATCAGGGAGGTAAAATATGATCAGACGGCTGAAAATAGAAAAGGGTCACATTAAATGGCTCTCTAGACCCCACTTGATGATTCTTTTTTATACCTTGTTTATAAAAAAGGGTCATACTATTTGTACATGTCATTTTACACTTTGGGTTACCCGATCACACCTCCTCCTCTCACATGGGGGTCGGGCCCCCACGTGGGACCCCACCCCATGTGAGAGGAGGAGTGAGGTCTGGTAAACCAAAATGTAAACCATCAAGTGCAAATAGCTTAATTCTATCGAAAAAGTCACGAGTACCATAAAACGTTGACAGAATTCTTACCAACGTTGACGTGGGGCCCGACCCCCATGTGAGAGGAGGAGTGAGGTCGGGTAAACCAAAATGTAAACCAACAAATGCAAATAGTTTAATCCTATCGAAAAAGTCACGAGTACCATAAAACATTGACAGAATTCATACCAACGTTGACGGTGCATGATTGATCTATTTATTTTCCCTCTATTTATCAATGATTCTACACCCTCTGTTGCCGATCAAAATTCCCAATACTTATAACATGATTATTCTATACTCAAGTCACGATTTTTTCCAAAATCAATTATGTTATAAGTATAGAAAATGTTGACAGATTACACATAGTATGAAATTATTGAAAGATAGAACGAAAGAAAAAAGAAAGTCAATCATTGACCGTTACATCATTATTGATATGAATTCTATCAACATTTTCACATACTCGTAACTTTTTCTAAAGCCAATGTTAAAGGGGTTGTTGATTAGAACAAAAGGATGAATCATAGTAGAATCAATAGGGTCCCATATTAAGATATTCCATTACATTGGACATTGTGATGAAGGTGAGGAATTTAAGGTGTGCAGAATTATTTATTCATTTCTTTTTCAAATTCTTGAATTCTTTTTTCTTGAGGCTGAGATCCTATTCTCATATGGGCTGGGATTAAAGTGAGGTGAATTTTGTCTAAGGGAAGAGTTCATAAATCAGGTGTTAATTATGCCCAATTCAAAATCCAAGTTACAAGTTTCTTTAGTTCAAAAATCAGGTTTTAACTAATTAATTAAAAATATTTATTAAATAATGATAATAAAGCCACTGTTATACTATTCATGGTCACATATTCACAATTATAGGTCACAGATTTTATTTATCAGTCACATATCATCAAATTAATTGGTCACAGATTTTTTCGAGGTCACAAATCACAATTTTGATACGTCACAGATTATGTCGAGGTTACAGATCAAAAATTTATAGGTCACAAATCCAAAAAATTATAGTCACAGGTCACATATTTTCAAATTTAATAGTCACATATTATTTTTTTTAGTCACAGGTGATCGAATTTTAAAGTCACAGGTCAAATAGTCAGTCACCACCAACTCCATTGCCTCCACCGTCACTTGCAACCACCCCTCACCCCGTCGCCACCGCCACCGCCACCGCCACCGCCACCGCCAACATCAACAAAATCGACGCAACCAGATCCACCGTCGCCACCAAACACACCAAAAAAAAAAACCACCACCAAAACTCGACGACCAACTGTACACACCCCACCCACAGCGCACCACCATCACTTGCAAACACCTCCAACCGCAAAATCACTACCACACACAAAAACTCCATAACCATAGCTTCATCGCAGCATCCACACCCAAAAAAAATGCCACTCATACTAGGACCGAGATTCTCTTCCAACACCATGGCACCCACAGCACACACACCCGAAACTTCGCCAACACCACCGCATCCAACCACACCACCCATCTCACATTATCGATCTCCAACACCACCACACAAATCAGCACACATACTATAGATTTCGACAGCTGCTGTAAATCAGGCATCGACGCTCAGATCGCTCGTAGCGGCACCGAAGCTGTGACTAGCTTGTAGCAGCACCGACGCTCACCACAATGACACAAGTGGCGCTCAAATTTTGACAGTTGTAGCAAATCAGGATCAAGCAAGCGGCGCTCAGATCGCTCACAAATCCGGCGAGAGGCTCTCAGATTTCACTTACGTCGCCGACTGTGAAGGTGGCGCACTGCAACAACTATGCGGCTGCTTGATTCTTAGGTGTCTCCGGCGGTGGGTGACGATGGCAGAGAGAAGGGTAGAAAGAGAGAGAGGCGTGTTTAGAGAGAGAGAGAGAGAGAATAAAATTAGGATTGGAATTGAATTAGGGGTAATATTTATTATATTCATACCTAATTTTTGAATAATGAAATTTGGTTCCTTATTTTTGAATTCTAATCTTTAAACACCCGGAATTATGTAATTTCCACTTTGTCTAATTTGTTGTCTTTATTTGGGTTTTAGTTTTATTTCTGTGTTTATTTGGGCCATTTGCAGCATAAAATGGGTAGCGATATTGTGTAAGAGACACTTCTAAGATAGAGACGATGAAAAGAAATTTTTTTTTATAAGTTCTTATGTCTTCCCGTGATTAAAAGAATTAAGTACTTTCGTGTTTTTTATAAGTTCTTATGTCTTCTCGTGATTAAAAATAAGTACTTTCGCGCAGTGAATATTGATAAGTCTCTATTTGATACTGTTAAAAAATTGATTTTCAGTAAATTTTTGATAAAAATTGATAATATATGTTATTGAAAAATTGAAAGTCTCATGAAATGCATCGTTAAAATTATTGTTTACTTTGGCTTATATATTTATAAATTTTTAAAGCTACACCAAACAAAGTACTATTAAATAAGAGAACAACTTTAAGAATTTCATTCATTATACTAATCTCTGGTCCTTTCTTGTCTTTTATTTAGTGGTGACAATTGAGCCCAGCAACTCATCGCCTTGACTCATGAAGTGCTTGAGCTTGTTTCAAAAAAAATTTGAACGAACTGAGCTCAGACGAGCTCGTGGACTTGAAAATGTGACCAAACGGTCACATTTTTCGAGATCTTGAGCTCATGGGTTGAGTTGGCTCGACTCAACCCATTGATACCCTTATTTGTGTTTGATGACTTTTTTCAAAAAATAAAAGCTATTGCGAAATTATTTTATGTTATATACTGAAAGTGACTATTGCTATCATTCAAGGAAAAAGAAATAAAACGAGAAAAAAGTAGATTAGATCAACATGTTCCTACTTTCATTCGTACAAGCACAAAATGACGTAATGCATGCCTTTAGGCTAACCATGAGTAAAAAGTGGCCCATATGGCCAAAAAGTTTACCTTGGGGAGGAATTTAAGAATTTCTTTCAAATTTCAATAAAATTTATTAGCTTTCCCAATCTGTAATGACAATTTGATATCAGTTGGACTTATGAGCCGTGTGAGGCCATGAATACAAAAGGAAAAAATTAATTCAATTTACGTCCTATCTTATGAGAATCTTGTTCATTCAGTCTCTCTTGAACTTTTCAAGAATGCATAGGTCACTTTAGAAATTAACGAGTCAAAACACATTAAGCTTCCGTTTATATTCCATTAAAATGAAATTTTATCGGAAAATGTGTTTTAGAATTGTGATTCTTTGTCAAATATGTGGTTAAAAAATAAGAATAATTTTGAATTTATGTATAACATTATTTTATAGAATAACATGCAGTTGAAAATGAGTTTTGAAAAAAAATGTATTTTTTGATAAATGGAGCCAAAGAAGAGCTAAATGCCATCCTAACCAGATTTGTAACTTTGGCCCTTAACTAGCAAGTCATGACTGGTTGCCTCATTCAAATGAAAGTATAAATAAAATAGTTCAATTTCAGTTCGGGTTAAATGCGATGCATGGCATTGAACTTTTAACGAACTTGAATAAAGGTTTTTGTACTTCAATGGGCACGATCAAGTTATTGAACTTTAATTTAAGTGCAAATATAGTCACTCTTTTAGCATCCGTAATCAATTTAACGTTTTTTCGTTAATGTGTAACTTCAAAAACCACACTCATGATATGTCACTCTTTAAAATACAATTTTGTGGGATTGATCTTTTATGTTTTTCTTCTTATATTGATACTTTAAAAGAAATACTTACATCTTATTAATATGAATATCTTTTGCCTCTTACAAGCTTCATTCATATTTGACTAATGTCTATAAATTATTTATAATCAATTAAATTATTTTTTATCCACACATTTTATGCAACTCACAAGTATTACATTTTTATTCACCGTTTAATTTTATTTATTTATAATTTATACCCATTTATAAAAACTTTTCCAAGCATGTAACGACCCTTATTCTTTGGAAAATCCCTTTTCTAATATTGATGCTACAAATAAAATTGTATGAGAGAGAATTTTAGAGAGAGTACACAATCATTTTTTCATCCCTAACTAGTGTTATATCTGTCTATTTTTCTTAATGTGTAGCTCATATTTTGACAAGTGGAAATTCTACTCACCCCTACATTAAAATTCTCAATATCAAAAATCAAGTTAGAACTATTTTTTTTTTTTAAGTTATAATTATTATTTTCGAAATAAAAATATATATTACAATCCCTCAACTTAACAACCCTAAAATCTCACCCATACCCATCCACGCTACCTCCCATTCACTCTCTCACACATGCACAACGCGGTCAGATTGGGAGCACAATCCAACAAGTCGATTGCTGCGTGTGGTGCCCCAACAATCTTGCCATGCGACCACATCATTGTTGATAACCTTCTCCAGAGCTCTACGTAACGATAGTATCTTCATTACGCAACAAAGGTGCATATCAAAAACAATGGTTTGTCGATGAAGTTGCATATATTCTTCTAAACAGCAAAAAGAAGTCAAATTATTTATTTTTTTCTTCAAGAATCTTTACAATCCTCCTATATTTAAGAACAAAATTTGGATAATTAATAAGAAAAATTAATAATCTGATTAATGAACAACTCTCAGAATCTCTCCCCAACATGAATGAAAAGTGAGCCACGCCTTGAGTTATGATCAACAGCATACTCTGCACGTACTTGACCGAGCTTCACTCCAACACCATACGAGGAACCATGACCATTTCTCATGTATGCCTTCGTGGGATTTCCTTGTACAGATACTGAACTGCCGAGATCGTTTCCATGTTCTGCAAATGCATAAGCGTACGCATTTTTCATGGGTATTCGAACCTCAGCCGCCAACTGCACATTGCATCATAAGTGAGATACTAGTCTAATGAACTTCTTGACAAGATCATTCTAATCTAGTGTACTTTTGCGTAACCTACTCATCTAAAAACCTCAAATGTGGTTTCAAGTGACTTGTCTATATATACCTCGAGTTTTTGTCTAGCTGCTCCTAGCTCTCCCACGTTGTAACCTCTGACTGAATATGGTCCCCCAAGTGTAAAAGCTTCATGGTTCGGGAGATCCCCTACACAACCACCATAGAGGCCGTGAAGGACTAAAACAGGTGGAGCAAGATTACCTTTACCTTCTTCTACTTGCTTTAAGGGAAAAAATTTGGTCATTGTTAGCTTGTGGCGATTGAAGAATGGGAACTTGCTACCGATGCAAAGTCCTTGATCAAACTGCAATTAAGATAATAAAATATTTTAGAACTGTTATCAGTGTACTTTTTAATATTGATAGTGGTTAAAACAACAAAGTAAACAACAAATTAAGGCCCTGTTTGATGGCCATTATTTTTAAAAAAAATGAAGTTTTGAATAGTGATTTTTTTGGAAAATGTGTAGTTAACAAGTAATGAAAAGTTTTGGGTTAACGTGCAAAATATTTTATTGTGTAAATGTGTTGTTGAAAATGAGTATGAGAATTTAAGAGTTTTGTTTTAAAGGTAGACAAACAGGGGCTAAGCCCTCCAAAAAAAAGGAAAAAAAGAGAAAAAAGGAAAAAGAAAAAGGGCCCCATTAAAGTTTAAGTGAGCTATGGAGATCACAATGGGGGGTGGAAGGCCAACTGGACTATGGAAAAGCATCGAGAGCATGCAAAAGGAGTTGTTACGTACAAACAATAGTACCACAATGATAATGCAACACCATGGTAGAATGTCATTCTGTTTCGGTTATTTATTATGTCTGCCTATTTGAGATGACAATAATGAAAGACCAACAAAAGCTTGGAAACTCACCTGGAACACATTCCTCTCACCAATTAATGCCCCATTTAGAGATCTCGTATTATCTCGTGTTAGATTTGCTTGTAAAAATGCCATGCGATCCGTCCCAGTGCCACTTAGCGTAGTTGGAGGTCCATTAGCACTGATATCCCCATTTAACATCACCTTCTGACCATTTCTAGAAATCTGACCATTTTCATCACGGGTTATGATTTCTTCCATGACAAGTCCACAAGTGAATTTGCTCTGTTTGGTAAAATCCTACACAAACTATCTTAGTTAGGAATGCACAAGTAAGATAAATAGTTTACAAATTGAGACTTTTTTCCTAGAACAGGTTTGTTGAGTGTGGGTCAGGGTCAAAAATTAGGCCAAAAGGCGTGTTTGACATGGACAACATGTTGGTCCCAAAGGATGGAGGAAGCTAGGTTTGTCGAAAGATGGGCAATGTCAAAAAGAAACAAGAAGTCGATTCTGATCAGATAAAAGAGAATAAAGAACAAACACATCTTATGGACTCCCACATGCAAAGGTTCAATTGATTACATTTACATCTCAAGAAATTATCTACCTCGGTAATATTGGCTTTAACTCCAGCACGATCTACCCATAACGGAGGCAAATCTACTTCAGGACCACCTGTAAACGCAGGACTAGATTTCGAACTGTTGAAACATGAAGCGCGAAAGGTGCGATTGCGAGGATTATGCACACCATCTAGATATGGATGTACATATTCAAACTTGAAACCTAGATCATCCTGTCAAGAGATTTCCCATTAAAGTTACGAAAATTAGTTAGCCAATAACTAGCAATCCCATTCTTAGTTTTTCAATCTTTGAACATCATGAGCATGTTACATATGTAATATTACACAATACAATACATGCAACAAATAAAATTTTAACTTTTATACTTTCGTGTCATACAATAATACTGTTTATTATTGTCTAGTTCAATATACCAAAGATGTCATGTTTATTTTCTACCTCACCTCGGGATCAAATAGGTTGCTAAGAGTCATTGAGCCAATAATGCTTCGATTTAGGCCTTTAAGATTTCGAACCTCTAAGGAAATATTCGCTGAAGGTCGTATTGAAGCCTGAAATAACAACACAAGAAAGATGGTACTATTATCCCAAATATTTATGGATTCAACATTTCGATTTAAAGAAAATTGTTCAAATTGTTTACAGTTAAATTTACAAGCACAAATCAACGTCACTTAACTTTTAGCAAAAATTTCCCATTGATCACTTAAACTTCATTTTTTTCCAAATTCATCACTATCTTGATCGACAGAAAAATTTATGCAACAATCTAGTTAACAAATAACTAGAGTACAACAAAAGCTTTTCTATTTAGTCAAACCAACAAGAAATTTCACTAAAAGTTTAGTGGCCACATACATAAAAACCCTATTAGTTACATACCAACATTGGTCGACCATTGCGTTGAGGCACGATATTCCATTCTGTACTGACTTCAACTGATTGGCATTGTGCTTCCTGTAACTTAATTTCAGCAGTGATAGCTCCATTTCTCTCATCCATGGATGGATTGAGTTCAATATTAGAAAAAAGATTTAGAGAATTGAGATTATTCAAAGCCTTTCTGAACGCCTCGATTTGGAAAACACGTCCTTTTCCTAACTATAAAATCGAGTGATATTAGACCAAAGAATAAAAATAATCCAGCTTGTAACATATTCATACAAGATATATAGAATTGGGCACAATTGAGGCCGCAAAGGGGCAGAACTAATACCTGTTTGGGTAGTACTCTAGTAATAACACCAAGCTTAGTATTTCCTTCACAAATATTCCCAAGCTTATCCTGAAACTGAACAACCACCCTATTTATATCTCCTTCCATCACTTCACACACAAGTTCCTTACTATTCGGATCCAAATTCCCGAAATTCACGACCCGAGAAAGTTGGTACCCATTTTCATGATACCATTTCTCTATTCTCTTGGCAATCTTTCTTAAAAGCCTTGAATTTACATTACCACATTGTCTCAGCATTCCTTGGATTTCTCCTTGCACTGCCATTGGCAACATGCATGGCCTGGCTTCCTCCACTCGTTTTCGATATTGTCTATTGTAGCTCATCATGAATTCCATTGCTTCATTCTGTGTCATGTTTTCATCCATTTGGATTGAATCCAGCTCTAGAAGCGAATTCACGCCGATGCATTTCATTCGATACTTTGACCCCCAATACATTTCTTTAATGGGGAAATTGATATCAACTGTTCCATCAAAGTTCGTTTTCATGTCGAGCTCTACTTCCTTGAACCACCCAGAAGAAGCTAAATTTTCAACTTCTTTTTGGAGTTGGGCTTTCGTATAAATCCTACAAGGTTGTAGCGTAAGCAAATCGTTGAACGCATCTTCAACATTGATAATGGACCTGTTGGAAAAATCATGACTATCACGAATTAGGATTATGATGATTTTTATGAAAATTTTGCAAGATAATATTATAGAAAAAAGATGATTTTGCAAGATACATGAATTACAAGACCTGGTTCGTGGATGCAAAAAGTTGACTTTGGAGACTTTATACTTCTTGAATCCACTAAGCTTGTTGAGACTGACCACAATATTCACCGGCAGTCCATGGGAATCCCATTCTTTTCGTTCCAAATTGTCTTCTTTCGCCATCGCCCAAGGACAGAAAATTCAAACCACCGTATAAGAACGTTGCGATGCCGAGGGGAGGAAGACAGCGAGTTTTTCCCTAAACATTTCATTCGAAAATCACAAAAACAAAGCTTAAGTTTCTAAAATCAACAATTGACAAATAACTCAATTTAAAGGATGCATATTCTAATGCACATTTTATCAAACGGTTGCAGATCCCACACAAGCACAAGAAACTTGTGGACTCAATCCATTTTGGGTCCTTTGTTCAATGAATTTGATAACCGAGCCTTTCAGGGGCAGATCTAGGAAATTCGGTTGCACGAGTTGAAATTTAAGAACCAGTTAAGGATTGTTCTATTAATTAGTTATGCACTTGTGAGAGTAAATATGCCAACATCCCTCAAAATACGTGTCATGATGTTCAAGTGATAGTTTGAGCGAGGACATATAAATGACTGCTATAACATCCTTCAAAATGTGGGTCACAATGTTCAAATAATACTGTAGTTTGATGGAGTACACATAAAAGACTGCTACCATGTTCCCTTTTTATCGAAAACCATGACAGTGACTAGGGTATGTCTACTTGTGCTTTGTTAGTACTTTTCTAGTCCTAGTTAGTTGTTTTCATGTGTATATATATATTTTGGGTTTCCCTATGATCACTAATTCTACAATTAATTCCCTTATAGAGCCTTGTAAGATTCACTGTTAGCTAGTCAAATTGCTTTCTAATAGGTCAAAATCTCAAATGACATGTTCTTACTCAAAGCTAGAAGATAGAACAAAACATAATTACTCCAAGCTTACCAAACTACACATGAATTGTCATATAAGGTTAAATTCAATATTTCTATAAAGAAGGCAACAAACTAAATAGAATAGAGGCTAATATAATATATGGAAAAGACAGTGCATTCTACAATTGCTTTATTAGGCACACAACTTGGACATTATAGAAGGGCAGTGACCGTCCAAGCATGGCCACTGACAAGACTTATCTTCTTAGGTTGGGTAATTTCCATCAATGCATCTAATTAATTGTACCCAAAAACACTCTCAGATTCTAGTGATACAAATATGGAAACCAAATTAAGTGAATTACTAACTTTTGTTTCATATTGATCAGTTGATAGAACGATGAAAAATTGTTTCAGCAAATTAGCTAATGGAAGGTATAGCTTGGACTTGCACATCTGTCAAACTCCATAGAGAAAATTATGTTAAAATAAAAAATGGAATAAATAAAATTCCAATTGAAGTATATAAATGTCTAGGTGAAATGGGTAGCTACAGTTGATGCAGTTTTCCAGTGACGTTATTAAATTCAGTAAATAAAAATGGATAGCTACAGTTAATAAAAATTAAAGGGTCTTCATCCTTATAAAAATTGTCTTTAAGAACTGTGGGGAGACAAATTATGAACAGGCTACAAACAATGTATCGTTGAGACTGAGTTCATTGTTTCCAAATTCCAAATAACTGATAGAATAATTCAATCTACTATCTGAGAAATTCTTCAATGCAAAAAAGAGAAGGAATACATAGAAATTAGATTTTAATATTTTATACCGGCAAGCAGGCGGCAGCAGTGGCGTGGCGTGGCGCGGCGGACGGCTGTCGGCTGGGTAACTTCAGTTTTACTTTTTCCTTTCTGCCCCCTTTCACTTTTCTGTTTCTCTGGACTCTGGTTCTTGTGTGTCTTCTTCGCCAGACGCCTCTTGCAACCGGGACAAAGCACAGAGAATAGGAATTAGGTATTTCAAAGGAAAAAAAAAAAAATGGGCCCCTAAATTTTTGGGCCTGAGGCAAGGGCCTCACTTACCAAAACCGGCTCTGTAAACACTGGAAATGAAGTGAGTTTGACTAACAATGCTATTTAGCAAATTGTGCTTAGCATGATGGTTGGATGAAATTGTGTAATGAAGTTGAAATATTTTTATTTTCATCTAAAACCTTGGTTTATTAGATAATCATGCTTAATTTATGTTAGGAAAAATGTAGGAAAATCTGAAAATTTAATGAACTCTAAGGCACGAAAAAAAAATGTTATCTTTTAAGAGATGTTTCTCCCCTATCCAACGAAGTCACGATTGGAGTATGATAGAAAATCTCTCTCAAGATACAATGGAGGCGTTTGATTCAAATTTTGACTATTTGATCAAATCAAGAAGACACTCGAAAAAGAACTGATGATGCCAAGAGAAAGAGAGAATAATCTTTTTTTTTTAATGTATTTTTTTTTAAATGTGCTTTTTTTTAATGTATCTTTTTTCTAATAGGTCGATTCCCGTTGCGTAGCGGCAAACACTAGTCGGAGCGGTAAATCATTCGCAAAAAAATAAAATTAAATAAATACATGCAAAATGATGAAAAATATCTAACAAAATAAATTAAAAAACAACATCCCAGAAGATCATTATGAAATATAAATACTAAATAACAATATAAAAATTGCAAAATCCTCATACAAATCTTGAAGTCCGCCCCACTACATTGTCACCGGAAGTCTGGAATTTGGAAATACCAATTACCAATTACAAAAGCAAAAGAAATTGACAAATTGAAAGACACCAGCCAGCCTAACAATTTTATATGTAACAGTGGCTCACAGTCACGCATAAATTTTTCAGTTTTATGTATATATAGCTATTCAATTTTCCATGTTGGCACAACATCCCTAAGAAATCAGGTTTGATCGTTCAATGGGAGGGCCTACAATTCTATTCAGATCAGATGTATTTATAAATATGGAAAAAAAAAATTATATTTCTAATAAATAAATTAAAATCAGCGATTACTTAAATAACGGAATTTGGCCAACAAAACCAGTCATCTTCAAACAATTGGCCGCCCCTTCTTCTTTATTTTTCTTAAGAAAAAATAAATAAATTGTGGGTTTGTTACCTCAATGCAACACTTCAAAAGCCAACAGGAAGATGAAGAGGAAGTACTCGGTTGGTCGGATAATCGGATTTCTTGCCGGAGCTTTTGCTGGTAGTCTTTAGGGATTGTCCAATGATCAATTGGTAGTCAAGATTGTATTTAAGCTTCTCCCTCAGTCTCACGTTTTGCACAGCCGTTCATCTGCCCTTTTCTCTCCTTTTTTTTTTTTTTAAAGAGATTTTGAGGGTTTTGTATTGAAATGGGTTTTGGCCCACTCTTTTTTAAGAGGCCCCCTACAAACCGAGGCCTAAGGCAGTGGCCTTGTTTACCTTGGGTCTTTCGTCCCTCCATTGTTCTCGTTGCGCTCTCTGAAATTTTAACTTATGTTTATAAAATATAACGTCTTAAATTTCTCTTTCTTTAGAAAAAATTTTCTTTCCAAATGTAAACCTCCATATTTATAATTATACATAAATATATAGTAGAAAGTAATTGACTTATTTGGGAAAAGAAACGTTATTCACAATTGATTGGGATTAAAGGAAATGTTTAACAGGGGAAATGAGGGTTAATCATGTGTAGAAACTGTTGGCACCACTCCAAAATGGGTTAATTGTAGGTTACATTTGTAAGTTTTAGGTACATTTAAAACCTGTAATACGTGTGGGTGTTTGGAATTAAATTGTAGGTTTCATTCCTAGAATATAAATAATTTGAAGGAAATGGACAAAATTCTAGAAAGGAAAGCCATAAATTAAGAAACTCATGGCTTTCAATATTTATTTTTTATTTTTTATTTTTATCTTTTGTCCCTAACTTTATCAAACTAATCAAAATAAGGAAACTACACAACCTCAATTAAAACTTAATAAACTCTATTTTATTTATAATTCTATTTTTTCTTATAATTCCGTCCTTGAAAACGCGTACGGAAATCAGACCTTAGAAATATTTACTATACATAAATTTTCACCATTGGCTCAAATTTTTAAGAAAACATTAAATTCAGTGCTACTTAGAAAACATGCATGATTTCTTGTGAACTTTCATGAGATTAAAATTATTTAAGACATGTTGAACTAATATTGGGTTTTCATTTCTTATGTTGGCCGAGCATAAGGTTCTTCTATGCACTAGGCTCGTTGTATTAGATCATCATAAAATAATAGCGTAATTTCATTTTATTTTTTAACACTTTTTATTTTTAAAACTTTATTCTTTATTTAAAAAAAATAAAAAAAATAGACGAGCCCACGAGCCGAGTGGAGCTCGCCCAATTTCAATGAGCCGAGCCCGAGCTCGAGCTCGGCTCGCCACGAGCACGAGTCGAGCTCGTGGCATTAGGGCCGAGCCGAGCCAACCCTACTCGTGTGGTCTATATACGTCTACTATCTCCTTCTGCATGACAATATGAAAGTATTAATATTTTATTTAAAACTTCACTTAGGAATTAAATGTAAATCTCTTAACTGGGAGTTAACATAGAAGTCTCTATCGATGTCAATGTTAATACTCAAATATGACTCCATCAGGTTCAAGTTTTGGTATCACTCATATTAGCCTCCCTTTCAAATTCATGCACCAATTTACTAAAGTTAAAATCAAGGACAACTATTCCACACCACCACTTCATATTTCATTTCCTTCGTTAAAAAATATAATTTCTAGTGCCGCATTCTTATGATGCTGTTAGATATTTAGCAACACTATAAAGTAGGTAAATACAACAATGAGCACCTAGGCAAGGACTTCGATGTTCTATTCAGCATATTCTAGCATTTTTGCAAATATGTTTTATATTCCGCTGTGCAAAATGTACAAGTCAGACCATTTGCTGTGTGGCCCTGAACCTGTCTTGTGAAATGTATGCTTCCATTCAAGGCACTATGTTTTTTGATTGGTCCTTGGTACTCTTCTATGTGTTTGAACTTCATAAATCAAATCCTGTTACATTTGATTTTTTTCTTTCGTGTAGCTCATTTTATTATGTTTCACATGCAACCAGGCGGTAATTTTCTTATATAGCTTTGTACTACTCACACCCTTTCCCTCATTCGATTAATCACCCTTTCACATTTTTACTCCAAATTCCAATTCCTACCCAGCATATTCCGTTACCAGAATATGATTTGTGGCTCTGAATATTGAAAAGGGAAGAGAAAAATGAAATCACTAATTAAAGATACTGTACAAGCATAAGAGAAATACAGTTCGAAGAAACGACATGCATGAAAAAATAGATCGTATTTCTAATAAATACCTTCTAATATTAGGACCGATAGGTCTAGTGATGACAGTTTACCCCGCCTCGCCCCGGTGTCAACCGCCCCGAATGGGGCAAAAAAACCAGTCCCGTCGCGGGGCGTGGGGTGGGGATGCCCCATCCCGTGAATTTTTTTTTCTTATTTTTTATTTTTTTATTAAATAAAAGGTTAGAGTTCAACTTATTTCAAATAAAAGGATGACCTATTTTTTAGTATCCTCAATTATAAAAGTCTTATCAAACTTGACTAATTTATATATATCATTATGCTATTTTGTCAAATTGATATTATATTGATAAAAACAAATATAAAAATATATAACATGTTTAAATGAACAAATTTGAAAATCTATATATTGTTATAAATTAAAGTGTGTGGGGTTACAACTTTTGTGATAATATTAAAGGAAAAAAACACAAAAAAAACCTTGTTCATTATAATAATCAATGTTGTGTACCAATAGCGACCATTATATTTAAGATTTGTAGTGTTTATTTTGGATATTAACTTTGCTAGCTTGAATGTTATCCGTATTTTATTGAACTTAAAATAAAAAAAATAAAAAATTAAATTAAATTAAATTAAACGGGGCAAAAAAACTACCCTGCCCCTCCCCGCCCCGTCGAAGGCGGGGCGGGGTACGGCCCAAACCCGCCCCGTTGCCATCACTAGATAGGTCGTCCATCAATATCTTCATAAATTATTTCCAGCTTCATTATGAGTGGCACTACATGTTTTACAAGAATAAGATGTTAATAATAAACAAAAAAATAGAATTAAGAACTCAATAAAAACACCAAAAGTCTTACAATGATCACAAAATGAAATTATCAATTACTATAAATAGTAGGGACATCAATCACTATCACTATTGGAAATAAATTCGATCTCCGTATCAAATTTTTCGAATTCATTCTCATCATCCATATCATAAACTTCAATTAGAAGTCTTCTTCCATGTCAAATTCATCAATATTTTTCACATCTATTTGTTCAAGAGGAACATCAATAACAACATATAGTCTACTGTCAAATTCAAAAGCTGTATATCTGTAGACAAGCTGTCTTGTTGGACAACATTATAAGTGTCAATTTCATCATCATCATTACACTCATCAGTAGTCTCAACTGCATCCCATATATGACGATGCGAGGCTTTTTGTACCACTTTCCAATTGGTTCCATTGTTCAAGTCATCTAGATAGAACACTTGAATAGCTTGTTTTCAAAAACTGAATGGATCATCAATGTACCAAGTTTGAGAAACATTGATTGATATAAAATTTGATTCTTCTACAACATTTTTTCTTCTTCTTATCACAATCAAACCAATCACACTAAAACAAAGATGTTATGAAAATAATGTAGCTCGATGACATCGATTAACACACCATAATAATCATTGTCATCACCAGGTACAAGAATACTACTATTTTGAGTGACTTAATGTGTGTATCACAACTTATTGTGTGACATCGAATGCCTTTGACGATATACTGTAAAATGTAATTTGTGGATCTGGTCCACATGCAAGGACCTGTAGCTCTTCAGTGACACTCAGATTACCCAATACACGTCTCATACACATCTGTACATTTGAAATTACTTAAATAAATCAAAATTTCATTGCTTCAAAATAGTCAAATAATTCAATTTTCTAAACAAAATATTACCTCATGTTGAAAACACTTTGGGAACTCACATTCTTGTCGATCGCTTCGATCAATTTTATGAGAAATTGTTGACAAATATTCACTGTTATCATTGAAAAAAATATTTACACTTAGGAATACTGTAGATACAATTTCTAGGTAATTGGGGGTAAGTACGAAGGAATTTATGAACATACCTTAAGTATGTTTAGATTTCATGGCAATTGTTAAGCACATACCATTTTGTTTTCCATAGTAGTTCATCAGGTAATGTGCAAATACTCCTACCCCCAACTGGTTGTACGCGTTGGGAAAACACAGATAACTCATCTACTTGAGTTACATTTTGACCATCATCATTTGGTCTTGTATATCTAGTCTCCAACCCATGAAAGTTCATAGATGAAAAT